AGCTATTTAATTTAATAACTTCGAATCCCGATTTAAATTAATACTATTTCATATAATCTACGATCTTATTAAATAATAATTTTACGCGAAGCAGAAACGCTATGCTCTGAGATTTTATTTTAATCTTTTGGTTATGATGTTTAAACGAAAAATAGCGATATGTATAAAAAAGGTGGGAACAATATCTTCATTCTTTCTTTCTATTGATTTTGCTGTATATCGATCGGAATATAATTCGATTTTGTGAGCACGGGAGTGTGTAAAAGTACAACGGTGCGCTTTCCATAACACGCTTCACCTGCCATAAAACTGACTTTCAGGCCGATAACCCATCAGATAGCCGACATTACAGGAAAAAATGAGTAGGCGACGGCAGAGATGACGACAACGAGATGGTCAGTGTCTCGATTATCATCTCTGGTGACTGCCAAATATGTGTCATCAGAAGTTTTTAGAACGTACCACATGATGTTTAAATATAGCTGAAATATCAAAGTGTGTGACATGGATTTTTATATAAATGAAACTGTACTGATTATATATTACTGTTTTATCATTTCCCATCTACATTATTCTTGAATTTCTAAAGAATTTGTCTCGCAAAATTTTGTTTCTAGTTGTTCTGAATATATTTGATTCAGAGACGCTGATATCTTGAAATATAAAAAAAATTTAAATGGAAGCGGAAATCGTTCTTAAACCGAAAGATTTTAAGATATAAAAATTCATGCTATTTATATATTGTGTATATATATGTATACACATATATTGATATATATTGAGCTCCATTTTAAATCTAAAAATTCTCTAACGCTTTTAAACTGCGAAGCTATTTTAAATCTATACGTTATGAGTTAATAAATGTAGCAATATATAGAGATATTAATCTATGGTTATTCTATTTCCAAAATCTCTGACACAGAGTTTTCTACTTAAGTTATCATAAAATTATTTAATAAAAACAACATCAAAGTCTAAGAGATGCTTACAAATCACCTTTACACATCTTGGATCAATGAATGTTACGGTTCAAAAGCAGGTTGCAGACACACGTGCACATTTACATCCACACAAACACTTAGCTGTATATTGTAATAACATCAAATGGTAGTAAAATTAAAAGATGATGATTAATTGTATCGTGAAATCTTCTCGCAAATCATTTTTACTGCGGAAATATCACGTCTAAGTACGCGCAAAACGATTTGGCAGCCGATCGTACGTCGAACGTTTAAACTTTTATTAATAGAATTTACCTCACCTATTCGATGGTCAAATCGGTGTACCTGTATCGTGTTTGTCGTGCCAGCTATTTGTTCGTCAGAAAACCAAGCAGCGCGCGAACGAACGCACAGTTAAAGCAGGACGCTTCCCCATTTTTCACTGGGAAATAACTTACTTTTGCAAAAGCTTGCACCGATATATCGTAGCAGCTCAGTCGAGCGCTGCGTGATATTTTTATCAAAAGCACGTGGAAAATAACGGTCCCGCAGCGACCCGCAGCACGTTCCTGTCAGCTGACATTACCTTGTAGTAATCAATGGTGTACTGCAATCGACACCTATTTTCAATCCGATTATATATCACACAAATAACGATATACGTTTATCAAAGCTACGTGTGCAGTAAAATATTTCATACATTTCTATAATTGAACCATGGAAAATCATGTTACAGTTAATAAATGGCATTTTACTTGGAAACCATATTTTTTAAATCTCTTCGGATAACATTTATCATGATAAATGACATCAAAAGCCTTTATTATCGTTAATATCAGAAAATATCTAGAATAATTTTTCAAAGTTGGTATTTGTTTAAAATAGTTTATTATTTGTATATATAAAAATAGTTTTCTTGTGTCATTTTATATTTAATAATAATTCAATATCTCTCATGTCATTTATTACATATCACATACTATATAAGTTCTTCATCTAAATCGTACCACTGCAGCATTGCTGCCATCGATAAAAATAGTAAATGATGCCTAGAGAGAAATGCTGTCGTATCATCTAACGTTCGACTATCGTTCAACTATCGTTCGAATGTGATACGAAATTCTTCCGGATTTAACGAAGTCGGAACGGAAATCGGATTGTCCCTACGAGTTGTCTGACGCTGTCCAATTTTCTCTCCGTTTCTCTTCTCTCTCTCTCTCTCTCTCTCTCTCTCTCTCTCTCTCTCTCTAGCACGATCGATTCTCTCTTTTTCATTCATTCGTACATACATCTACATACGCCACAAGTAGCACACATGTCGGACTAAACTTCGCGCTAACAAAGGTATGAGACAAAGGGAAGGAACGGACAGACGAACGGACGGGATATCGGTGTTCTGAGTCGCTGAACAGGACGCGCGTTGTTCTCCTAACGGTTGACAGCCGCACGTTGACATCGGCGTATACACGTGCACATGTGCACGCGGATACGGCCTATGTTATCAAGTAGGAGCTTTACACGCGTGTATTGTGATCTTTATAACAGGTGCCTGTGAACTTTTTGGCAGTTCGATTCGACAATCTAACTTTATTTCTTAAAAATTGAAGGTACAATAGCAAAAGTAATTCTTATTGATATTTATTAAGTTTTAATAGCAATAAAACGAATTTAATATGAAACATATTTGTTTGCTGAGAAACATCTGCAAAAAATTCTTTTTAAGGATTCGAACAAGTTCAAAAAGGATCAAAAAAGTTCTTTTTATGGATTGAGAGAGAGAGAGAGAGAGAATGAATTTTTAAAAATATATATACAATTGTGTTACTTTTAATAATTGATCTTAATGTTAGACTAATAAAAAAATATCACTACGTAAAACTAATGAAAATAAAAAATTTCTATAACAATTTTAATTCAGTATGCAATTATATACATGTATAGAAATAAAATAATATTAAGAATTTAATTAAACGCGAAAACAACGAGATAAATTAAAATGCATAATCTTTAACATAGAAACAGCAATCAGAATTTCAGAATATTTCGCTTCAATCAACACGTAATTTCGTCAGACGCAAGACTTGGATTTGAGTCATCTCGTACATATGATACAAAACTGATGTATGAATCACCTCACAGATAAAATGGATTCATGAATCATTTGAGGTCTATGAACTTTTGAATATTTCTGAAATTTTCGTGTTAGATTTGTGCTTTTTTATTCTTAAATTTTTTATTTTATAAAAATGAAATGATTGTCAAATCTAATAAAATAAATAACTTTTTGTACTATTTCACGTATACATGTGCTTTCATTTATCATTCTCCTTATCTTTTTCATATTTTTAATTTTTTAATTATTTAAATTTAATTTCTAAGAGAATAAGTAGCATTTTATTTAAAATAAATCAATGCCTTATGTGTATGCGTTCATGTTTAACGTATAGAAAACAACCGCTGTACACAGGTGTGCAACTTTTGCTTTGTTAGCTAGTTCAACCTGACGTGCAATTACTAATGCAAAGCAAATGCATTAGCACGAAGCGTGTTCAATAGCCAAAGTTTACTTTTGCTTAAGGATTATTTACAAATTCGAATACATATCGATTTAATTTTCATGTTAAATCACGTTTATCGATAATAGCTTTAAGAACGACCCTGTGAATCCATTACTCAAATGACGTTGCCATTCATTTCCACGCAAATGTACAAACTATAAATTACTTAGAAACAGTTGATCTTTGTATAAGTTCGGAACTTTGCGTTCGTTACATTAAACTTCTAAATGCATTTAATTATCAAGACAGAGTTGATAGATTTTCAGAAAAGATAATTTCCAGAGAGAGAATATAAAAATAATCAATAAATTCTTTCTATTTTTTGATTAAACAGCAAATAATTTTTATCAATAAAAATATTAAATTATTAATTTTTATTTATTGTGTCAATATTAGGCTTACATGATAAATTTAAATATTTCAAGATAGATTTCAATGAATTGTAAACGTAAATCTGTTTTTAACAATAAACATGAATCATATTAAGTATGTTTTCTAGTATGTTTTATAAATATGTTTTATAAATACTCTGCAAATAATATATATATGATTGTATAATAATAATAAACAATACAAATTGTAGTTTCTTTAATTTTTATTTATTTTTTGTATGGAGTACATTTACAAAAAGCATATCCAATAATATATAAGCCGAGTAATGTACGTATAGCTGTTATCCTTTCAAAAGTCGTGAAATTTATTTCATATATTTCACAAGAATTGCGTTATTAACTGTGAGATGAAATTCTCTGTTGAGAATTTCGACCATTCCACCTATGCTCATTTCTTCCATCAATCCCAAGCATATATTAGAATGATGCCCACGTAGAGTGTGGTATTAGTGAGATTAACCGGGGTCAACGCGCTGTAAAGGGCACGTTGGTGTTTAGAATATACAATGTGTTCTGAACACCGGAAACCACGTGAATATGAAAAGGTACATGTATTCGATCAATACATAAACGAACTAAATATTAACATAAATATTCAAGTAAAAGAGGATTACGAAATATAGAGAAAGGAACACAATGAGTCAGAATTTATGTAAAAAAAGAAGTTGATGATTTATAATGGCTGTCTTTGACAACGAAGTAAAATATATTTGAAATAAACGAAATAAAGTATATATGAAAAAAATTGTTGTTATCGTTTATTTGTTATCGGGTTTTTATTTTATTTACTTTATGACTTTCAAAAAAATAACAATTACACGTACATAGCATCGTTTTTGTATTATTTATATTATTAAAATATGCCTTTTGCAAACATAATCGACACAAAAATAATTAAGAACAAATAGTTACGATTATATAATTACATATTATTTTATTTCTTTTATTAACAATTATTAATTAATTTTTATGTAAATCTTTGTATTAAGTTATTGTATGATAATTATTTTGGAGTTTTACTTTTTCTCTATGTGTAAATATAAAAATTTAATTACAGTTGCATATTTTTTTATTTATATAATGTTTAACGATTGCTTTATATTTGATAGGTGTTGTCAACAGAGGAGATTCCTTTAGGAGAAGAAGATCGAGATCGAATTCTTTAGCGCCTGCCGATCAGCAAAATGAGGAACGTCGACTGCCTCCCAAGGAAGTAGCTTCGCATAATGTTGCTATGTTAGGTACAAGAGGAGTTGGAAAAACCGCCTTAATCAGTCAGTTTATGACCAGCGAGTGTATAAACGCCTACGATAGACAGAGAGGTGAGTCTCCTACAACTATGATACATAGTATAAGACATTATAATATAATTTTACAATAAGGTATATTGTAAAAATCATGGAAAAAATGCGATTTTAAGCTTAAGAGAGGAGCAACTTTACTATTGTTATTATTCTTTTATTGTTAGAATCAAATAAATTTTATTTTGATATGAGTATCTAAACGTTCGTTATTATAGAAAATTTAAAATTAATCGTTAAAAATATATAAAAGAAATTATTAAAAAATATAAAAGATATTTTATATTCTTCTTTAACAAAATCTTTGATAAGAAAAAATTGAGGTGCACAAATGAAAAATGTTATATAAACATATGGCGTATTCAATGATGAATTTAGTATGGTCAGATTTCTGACAAATACATATAAGCCTTTAATGAGTAAAAGCACAATACGATAAGAAATTTATAAATATAATCTCGTTTGCGAAGATAAAACTTCTCGTTGGAATGTTTTATTGCTATGTCATATAAACGTGAATTCACATAGAAACGATTACACAAAGGAAATCATTGGACATTTCTTAATTGATTCTGTAGCAAATAATCTTTACGGTGACTTTTAACAGTTTACATTTCGATCGTCCCGTTATATCGCGTGAGTTTACGCGACGGTCTCTAGTGTGTATTTCGATTGCACACTCGGTGAAAGACGGCATCAGATTCCGTCTGAGCAGCACATAGTTTCCGGCTTCCTAAATTCTATAAGTTATTTGGGATACGCGTAATTCTTTGAATAAATTGATTGCAGTTGAGCGACGATTAAGTCGATATCTTGGAACGAGATCAAATAAAATATCATTAACCTACTTGACAGAAAAAAGAATGAATACCCTGTGTCTGATTATACATATAATACCTTTTCTCCTTGTTCCATTTCATATAATAACTTTGATTTTTTTATCTACGATTATAAAATATAGAAAATATAATGAATATAAATCGGTTATTATTCTAATATTAACATAATATTTAAAATTAAATATGGAACAGAAGGAATGGCAGAAAAAATGAGAATATACATATAATATAAAGTAAAAAAAAAAATATAACGTGTTTGAATAAAAAATATGTTTATCCTTTATAATTAAATATAAAATAATATTCATTATTGTACTATTTAAAACTTAAACTATCATAACATGTAAAACGAATATAATTCGGATGTAAATAGATAAAAAACAATATAATTAAATTTTTTAGTAGCATAAGTTTGCAGTAATGTAATTTGCTATAAATTGCATCGATGTCAAAGATAACTTCTAAAATATCTTAAATTAAATATACGGGGCGCTATTGAATTGCTTAGTAAATACTTTACAGCCGAATCTTTGTACAAATTAATATAAATATTTCCTCAGCAAATATTTCATTGATCTACTTCATTTTTCGCATTCTTTTTTATAATATCAGATAGTTTAATAACTCAGCTAAAATAAAATTCCAAAAATTAAACATTAATTCAGATTTTATCTGAAATTTTGATTTTATAGACTGTATTTTTTTTATAAAAAAATTGTATTATTAATCACTTCATACATCTTCATTATTTTTTGTAAAACTTTGGATCTTTCATCACGTAAAAACTTTGAAGCGTGCGTATTATTTTATAAAAACGTCATCTGATATTGATTATTGAAGTGATATCTCGTGTAGTACAATTCGTGTAATACAATTCGTACAAATCTGGATTGACGACAGTATACCGCCCCGATAACAATGTGAATGATCGTTGTTCTGCCAATTGTCTGTTCTTACGCTCACTTGTTGAAACGGATGCGAGATAACTTTCTTATTGTTCACATGTCATTGATTTTAATTATCATATTTTTTTCATCCACAATTAAAAAATATAGAAAATATAATGAAATATAATGAATATTAATCGGTTATTATTTTAATATTAACATTAATTTCATTAATTTTACTACAATGTAATTATATTTTCGACCTTTATTGAACAATCGTTGATCAAAGAAACAAACTTTGCTTATTAAACTGTAACTATGTATATGTTATATCTTATATCATATCTTATATCAAATAATTGAAGTAGGTGCAGGTAATCTTACTCAGATCAATTTTTATGCTTATCTTTTTTACGAAAAATGTTTGCTTGCTGCAAATCCTTTTTAATTTTTGCTTTACAAATCATAATTAATTATGCAAAATTTCTCAAGCTGATATCCCCTCGCAGCATCTGCTTTTCATTGAAAAACTTCATCGCGAGTCCTTCATTGGTGTTAGAGTATGATAAGCGAGACGGGCGAGGCTTTGTTCCAGTTGGACACATTCAATCCTCGTTCGGCGACGTCACCCGGCGCTATTACGATCGATATTCGTGCGAGCTATCAAACAATGGGATATGCTCGCGTGGTAGAAAAAATCCGCGCCCTCTATTCTTTCTCTTCCTTCCTTCTCTCTTTTTCTCTCTCGTGCTTTTTTTTATGTCCCAATGTAATGGAATTTTCTATTTATGTCTAGTGCGCGCAGGCAAGTGGCTTTCGCGGAGATAGTGGTTCAAAATGATAGCGTGATGAGCCTTGATGTAACTCTCGTAACACTTCCTGCGAGAAACTTTTTACATATTGTAGTCAAACGTATGATGTTAGATATATAATATAAAACTCGCAGCGAAAATATTCTATTACGGCGGTAATATAACTTCACTTTATCATTAGGGAAAAAATGGAATTTTTAATGTTGATTAAATTGTACAATATTCTGTTTGCGAATTAACGAAATGTAAAAGTGGACATTATTTCTCCTTGTCGTGAAGAGTAGGTTCTGAGAACAAGACACAGTGATCCACGTTAAATGCTAAGAAACTAAGAATAAATGTTGATTTTTCTGGCGTGCCCCAATTTAAATGTTAACAATTTTAATCGTTTCTTTATACGTTTCCTCTTGCAATGCGATGATTCTTCCTATTGCATTATACTTTTTCCTCGTTCTGATTTTTTGCGATTGATGTCAATTAGAAACATCTAAGATTTATTTACTTTGTAATCATTTTTTATTAAGTAAACTATAAGCAAGATTTTTCTAAAAAAAAATAAATAAAATGTATACAATTTGATCTCAATATTCGCAAATAATCACTGTATAATTACTAGTGAAACAATATAAATAAATTAGAATTTTTAACCCTAACTGATATTTGTTCTGAAAGTTTTGCTTAAAGTTAATACAATTGAACAATTTTGTTTATTTTAAGGATTAAAATGCAAGGAATAAAATTATGATTTAAAATTGTGTAACGTTGTAAAAAATTGTTTATAACAAATATTTTTCACGTAATTGAAAAAATTTATTGGACCGGTAAATACCAATTAGTATTAAGAAAGATAAATAAAACGGAGGTAAATCGAGGTAAAACGGGTTGGCTTTTGGCTGTGTTTCTCGTCTCTTCAACTTCTGATTTTTCTCTTTTAGAAGTTCTCTCTTTAGAATAATTATTCAGCTTTTCAGATATACGCAATTTCTCTCGCAATCAGTAAGAGAAAGAACTTTTTTCTGAAAATAAAACATGTTGTTTCAAGAAAAATAATTTGCCTTCAATCCATTATTAATTATACGTACGGAAATGCATTTTATTAATATTCTCCAGTTGATTACCTTTATTATTAATGCTTCCGTAATTTAATTAATAATTTAATCATGGCGCTCGCACACAATTATTTTCTCTATGTGATGGTGTACATTTATCGAATTCTATTATAGCTAGCATGTCGATGAATCTGTTCTCGCTTATCACTGTATATATACAACTTGACTACCGTTCTTTCGTCAATCGTCGATGTTGCGATATAAATTATTCTATGATTGATATAAATTATTCTGTGATGAGAATATGATTTATAATAAGAGAACACATGATGTGTTCCTGCATTTTTAAATATATTTGCGAATATATTTTAAACTCAAATTATAATTGTGTTTAGAGTGATAAATCGTGCATGCATATGAATTACGTTCACATTATAGCCCAGATACATAATGGCATTATAATAGCTTATTATGCCCATTAACTACGCATAGTACGGTTATATGACATTCTGTAATTTATCTCATAATCTAAGACACATGACTATTTATTACATTATCTCTGTTTTGTAATTTGATATCTAAGATTTATAAAAGCATTTACTTTAATTATATATTAATTGATGAATATCATTATAGCAACTAAATAACAATCCATACTGATTATATTACACTAATTAATACACTAACACGTTGTTATATTGATACATCAATATTGTGTATTATAAATTACATCTTAATTTGAATTACTATTTATGGTTTTGCAATTGTATTATATACCTAGTGATTATAGATTTCAAAATTAAGTAGCTCATAATTTGTGCACCGCTCTTGACAATTTCTATTATTGTTTCAAGAAAAGTTTTCGATTTACAATCCAATTGTTTTGTAAACATTATTTTTTTATATTTATAAATGTTTTCCTGCATTATATGTTTACTTTTGTAAACACAGTAGAGGTTTGGGTAAAAAGAGATGATTTGCGAAAATGAGTTTAAGCAAAATGGAGCGGAAATCAGTTCCACAATCAATTACGCAAAAAGCTCTATGACAAACCTTGTGCGGAAGATTCACCACGAAAGGTCACTTGAATCATTATACGATATGAATAATGATTGCCATAATTATGTTCAGACCATTTAATAGGCAGATGGAAAAGGATATTATACCTTTGATGGAACAAATTTCTCAAACTTTAACAAAGACGTGAAATTGATATTCAAATGTCACTAAAGTGATTAAAAAATTTATGGTCTTTCTTAAAATATGATACAACTTTAAAAATGTTAAAAATATGAAATTATGAAGAGATTTAATTATTTGAATTATGAAAAAAATTTTTTAATTTGTGTTTAAATAATTGAATTTTATGTAAAATTGTATTTTTTAGTGAATTTATTTACCATTTTAGATAAATTTTCATAATTTTTACATACG